TTTAATCCCCCAACTCCAGACACTTAACTTAGGAGTATATTGTCCTGTGCTGCATTCATAGTCCATAGAGAGAGAGAGAGAGAAGTGCTGGAGGATTTCAGCACAGAAACAGGCTAAATTCCTTTCTCAAAGTGTGGGGATTTTTCCATGGCTTAATCCTCAGGTTAATCTCCATATAGCCAAGAGGGAAGTGGGGTGAAATTTGCTGTTGTTCCTAGGCAGTGCTTCCAGCTGAGCAGTCTGTTTCTCTTGTGCTAGCTCCAGTTGATGTGACTCCTCAGTTAGCGATTTAAGTTGAAGTCAGAAATCCCACAAGACTAGGCCTCATGGAGAAAAGAGAAAAAAGGGGTGAAAAGGGCTTCTGGAAGACTGTGTGTGGTCACTGGGAAGATGCAAACACATCCTTCAGCTCCAACACAAAATGGCACATTGAGATGACTGGTAGGCCCTGTAAATACACTTGAAAGACAAACTCAGATATCTTCAAATTATTTCATCCATTAACATAATTTCATGCCCTCTGAATGGGCTTATACTGCAGAAGCATTCTAATATATAAAATAATATATGATGCTGAAATAACATTTCAGAGTAGGCTGGTTTTATTTTCATTAAAATTCAGTTTTTTCCCTAACATTTTTTTCAATGCAAATTTCTAATTTATGAATCAAGAAGTTGTTGTGTCATCACATATTTTGTTTTTTTTTTCTTAAATTACTATAGATTACAGATGGAGTTCTCATACCCTTCTGTAAAACTGTATAGTGTTTTCTTTTTATACTTATTGCTATTTATTCTAATCCAGCATTTTGTTAGACTGTAAGGGATGGAGGTAGCCGGTCTTGCTTAAGAGCAAGTTGGTGGCTTTAAGTAATTTCTGATTTAAGTGTTAATTGCTGAAATGGAAGTGGGAAGAATATGTGATCATGCAAAAGAATTTCAAGTGGTCATGTGACTAGCTGAAGGTGATAATTTTAGCTCCTTTACATAATTTCTTCCCTGAATGTGGATTTGGTTTGTAATGGTTACTGCTCAAGGAAATGTTTTCTGTAGCTAAAACCACATGAAATGGTCCATGTAACAAGTTAATCCTAGACATTTTCACCATTTTGCTGCTGCTTTTCTTAGTAATATTGCTCTGTGAAAATGGGGGTGGGGTGGGGGTGGTCTTACTGTTTTATTTTTGGCAGCTTTTATCCTTTTATCTTCTTTTTAAGTCATTTGTCCATGACTTGATTTATAGGCATCCGTCATTTCCTTGGGTCTGACTTTCTTCTCTGACCCCAGAAGCTGACTTGTTTCCTCTTTAGGTAGAGGGTAAGATGTTGCTTTTCTTCTGTATTCTTTCAAACACATCTTGTTCTTCTTTTCAGTGAGGTTTGGATACCTGTGCTGTCAGCACTTGTTCATGGGTGTGTTGGCCCTTACAGCATCACACTAAAACAGATGTGTCTTCACTGTAAGATGAAGTCACTGCTTCCTTTTGGGTGGTCAGAATTGCCCAGAATGATGGGGTTTGCATTGCTGTTCTAGTTCAGAATGGCAAAACATCAGTCTGCTTGAGTAGATGGAAGGAATTTATATATGTACAGGTACATAGGGGAGAAAATAAGTATTAGAGATGTTTTATCTTATACATGGCATTAATTATTCCTCTGATTCATCTTGTTCTGCAATTCCACAGTTTTACAATAAAACATCCCCATTGAGAGTCAACATGCTGTGGAGCCTCTCTCCTACACCCGAAAAAACATTTGTGGAAACTGAATAGTTAGGCTAACTGTAAATGAGTTCATGTAATAAATGTTATAGGGAATGTTCAACAGGTTTTTTTTGTTTCCTTCAGAATAGATAAGCAGCATTTGGTGTAAAATAATAATAATATTGGCTGATGCACAAGAACTTGTTTTTATGTGATTTTGATCATATTTCATAGTTAGAGCAATTCTTAAACTTCATCTGAATCGAAGTAATGAAGAGTTTTGTGCTGCTTTCTTTCAAGCTGTCAGAGAAAAGGTCACTTTAATTTTCAAATGTGTATGTGTTTTGTATTTTTCCATAATTATATCTTTTTCCCCTCTTTTTTCATTAATAAATTATGTTTCACATGTGGAACTAATTGTACATATTTTTGTTCATCACTGCTTTGAAAAGTCTTTAAGAGCTTGATTTTTGTCTTTTTGGACTTTGAGTGAAATCTCATGCTTTTCTCTCCTTTCTAAACTGCTTGTTAAACAATATAATCAGCAGTGATATAAAAATGCACTATGCAATGTCATATTTTAGGGAGTTACACTGGATTGAACTGTAATTAATTGCTGTTGCTGAATACACCATGGTCCTTATTCTCTTTTTGTACCCAGGCTTTTCTTTGTGTGTAATAATTCCATCCAGGAAGAAATCTAATTACTAAGATAATTAACACCTTATCAGCAAATGGAGTTCAGACATTTGTAGAGTTTATGAATTTTTAAAATATGTAATTTCCTTTTAACTGAATGACAACTGGTGTTATGGAGAAAAAGAGCATATTTTATTGTATCTAGCTTGATTGGACCTTATAATTCATGTTGCTATAGAAACAACCAGGCCTTTAGAAAGGATGGTATTACTACTACCATTGGTAATAAATGCTTTGACTGTTGCCAATAGTGTCATTAAAATGGATAAAATAACTTCATTATAATGGTTTTGTCAAATGTAATGAATGTTCTGTTCGTGTTCTGAGAAATGGCAGCTGATGTTAGGTGGCATTGGTTTATAAAGTAATGTACTCTTTCTTCCATGAGCTTACTACTCCTGCACAAGATATTTGTGGTATGAAAAAATCATGTTGCAGGATATGGTGCTGCTCTCTTCAGTCAGTCCTTAAAGATAAGGAGTTTTATTGTTACTTGATATCAAGCAGAAATTCATATCTTGATGTTTGTCAATCTTAAGAAAGCAGTGGTAACTGAGGGTCTGAGCCCTCACCTCTGGGGATTTCTGCTCTTCTGCACAAAATCCAGATTGTGCTTCCCACTTAGGGTTGTTGGATCAAATCCTTGAAAATGTTCAGTTTTATACTGGTTTTGATTTGTCATTCAAATGCCATCTTTTAACCTCAGCTCAGATGATGGAGTCTGATTAAAAAAGGAAATTATAGGATTTGGTTTCTTTGGGGATTTTTCATAAGGAAAATAAGAAAGAAAATTCTAATAATATATGACAAATTCCTGTGCTGCTATCTATATGTCCAGACACATGCTAAAAGGAGGGCTTGACATTAATATAAGCTCATTCCCAATACTTGAAGGAAAAAAAAAAAGTTTCAGGGAAAAAAAAAATCACAAAATATATTTACTACCATGTACAATTTGTCTGAAGGCTGCTGTGGTGGATATAAGCTATGGTCTAATATCGCACCTAATAAAATTAATAAGAACAGTATTCTCTGCTTCCCTTTTCTGGGGTCTTTTGCCAACAGGTTTTTCTTTTCCAGTATAACTCATTGTTTCAGGAAGATTTTCTTTCAGGAATTTTTTATTTCAGTTATTCAAAATCAAGATTCTTCACTCACTATAACTACAGCATTATGTTTTTTTCTGTGGTGATGTAGTGTCTAATAAGAAATTAGAGTTTTCTTTGGCTGTTTGAATGCTTTATTAATGTAATTTGGATTACATGCACTAACATTCACAGTTCTGCATTGTCTTAACTGGATGAGGGGAAGAGAAGCCTTCCATCCATATCTTTAGGTTAGAGACAGTCTTGGAGACCCCTTCTTAACCTCAAGTGTGAACTTTGCTTGTGACAGTTGCCTTTATGCTATTCACCCCTTAAACAATCTCTCTCAGCTGTTCCCTTGCCTGTGGCCTACAAAAGAGCTGTAGTATTATTTAGATTGGAAGGGACCTCTGGAAGACATCTCATCTACTCCCCGTACTTGAAACAGGGCCAGTTACAAGTTAGATACCACCAATATTTGTATAGAGTTCTTACTTTTCTCCAGTATTTTCTGCAGTTTATCCTTGTTACTGGCAGTGTGGGGTGAACTCTGTATTGTGGAAACAGTCTCATCTGTGTCAGGAGGGAGCACTGTGTGTTTCTGCCTCTCTCCAGAGAATGCCTTTCATTATTCCCACTGTACACAAAGCTCAGTCTGGGCGCAGGCCCTGACAGCTGCTCCAGTATCTACTGGGGCAAGTGTTCATGGCGTGTTCCCACCATGTCCAAGACAGTGACAGTGGCACAATTTCAACTCAAGTTTTCTAACTTCACCCTCTTCTGTGCATCCTTCTGTGTCTGTGGGCTGTCTCTGTCAGCTGTGCTGCCTTAACCTGGTGTGTGTGAGGGATCTGCACATTCAGTCCAAGGGGAACAGCTAGGAAATGTTGACCTTGCTTAAATAAAAGGAGAACTCATTCCTGTGTGTTTGTGAACTTAGATATTTTGTTTTCCTTTTAAAGCAAGGCATAGACTGATGTTTTAGAATACTGAGTTAAAAATTAACTTGTGACTAAAGATGTATTTTTGGCTCCTAAGTCAAATTTGTTCAAATTTGCTAGGGGATATGACATGCCAGTCCTCTCTTTCAGGTACCCCGTTCTACTTCAATAGCAGCCTTATAAAATATTAAATAATTGACATTTTCTAGTGACTGAGTCTCAGAAGGTTTACATTTTATGGATTAAGCAATCAGAATTCAAGAAATAACAAGGTGTACTGATTACCTCTAATTTTGATTGAAGGAAGAGTTGATCCAGATGTTTTCACTCTTCTGTCACAATCCTAATCCAGTATTTGCTGCAGTATCTTCTATTACTTGTGCTCTCAGCTGAGCACCAGGTGCATTTCTCATTACCAAACAATGGTGTTAATGTCTTTTTTCCCCCAAGATCCTTGTAGGTCTTAATTTCTGTAGATAAAGTTGAAGGTTATGTGTCTATGTACACTAGCTTTTAAGGAAGCAAGACTTCTACATGTCCTCAGTTAAGTGTTTCTTTCTACTTCCTTTACAGAGTGCCTGGAATAACAATTGCTACAGACATCATCTGTGGTTTTCCAGGAGAGACAGATGAAGATTTTCAAGAAACGATGAAACTTGTAGAACTGTACAGGTTTCCAAGCTTGTTTATTAATCAGTTCTACCCACGTCCAGGAACCCCAGCTGCAAAAATGCCTCAAGTTCCAGCTGCAGTGGTAAGATACATTTTCAGATGCCTTTAATACATAAAGCATGTACGCAAAAGTGTACATTTTCTGCAGAGCTGTACCACATTCAAATGAAGGATTTTTTCAGTCCAGAAAGGGAAATGATGCTAGGCTAGACCACTGAATGTGTTTTCATATATATATGACTGTTTAGATTGTGAGGAAGGGTAATACAGTGGTTATATGGAAGATCTTGTCAGCTTTCTATCAAGTTTGGGGTGAATGACTATGAATAGTAGTAGCTGATTATTTATGTATAATATTTTTTTCCATTTTAAGACTTATATGATTACAGCATTCTCAAGCTTATTGTGAATAATTATACAAAGTATTAATAACAGTGATAGTCTCTGATTTATTTGTCAAATATTAAATTCACAGGCCACTTCTTCTTGAGATTCTCCTTATGCACTGCTCATTTGCTTCCTTCAGCCTGCAGGTTAAAGGCCATTAATAAAATTGCATCTGATCTTCCTCCCTTCCCTTTCCCCTTCCCTTCCTCAATGCTTTCTGACTTCGAACATTCACATCTTAAATTCCAAACTTTTTAAATAAAGAAGGTACGTGGCTATTGATTGTATTTTGCTAGATATAAATAGCTATTTATAAGCAATAATAATAGCAATCATTTCAGAAGGCATGGTTTGATTTATTTTTAAAGAATTGAATTTGTTGGTTTTGTAATCTGAATCTCAAAACAGGAAAGTATACAAGATTGGTGCCTGTAGTAATTCAACTCATTACTGTATCATTTTTATGGGTATAAATAACATTTATATTTCCTTTCAGTGTAAGGATGAAAGTCAGCCAGCAATGTAAATCAATTTAAATGAAAAACCTATTTGTTTCAATTTATTTATCCTGGTACACCAACACAAAGTCAAAACAATATATTGGAACTTGTATTCCTTTGCTTATGTGTGTGAAAGCTATACAAAGTATCTCTGTTTACTCTCCGTATATACCATGAATTCCACAGGATGTGTCACCTGCTGGAGACATAAAATCAGATCATTTCTGTCTTCTTCTGTTTGCTTTTTAGTGTAGTGCAGCTTGAGCAGTTCATTCATTTATTATAGACTCTATTATAATGGGAAATTGTAAGTTTTCAAATATAAATACCTGCTGTTGAAGTAGTCTCCTTAGTGTAACCAACTCACAGGGTTGCATTATTTGTCTTAGTCTTGAATGCTTTTTAGATATTTTCATACATGAAAGAAAGTTCAGAAATGCAATTTTTGGAAGGTAAGAAGTTTAAAAATTAAAACATTGGTTTGTGTTTCTGGTTTGTATTCCTATGCACAAGTTTTTAAGCATGCTATTTTCACGGGAGGTGCAGAAAGCTACCCACTTCTGTTTAACTGGGTGCTTATGGGAAGACAATCTGCAAAGGGATAAATTATTAAAAGAACATTAGCTGTTCTGTAGTTAGAAGTATTACTTGGAAAATGGTAATTGTCAATTTAACCCAGTTTTGCATTCTTTCTTTTTATTTGTAGCACTAGTTCTTATTGCTTTCAGTGAAACAGAACCTTCAAAGAAGATGGGGCCTCTAATCCGGGGCTGATGAAAATCTGTAATTAATAGATTTTTGTTTCTCTTTTTTCTTTTTTTTCCCCTGTAGTCCTGCCGAAATCCTGTGTTATGAGATCCTTTGTTCTTTTATCTCTTAGTAGAAATGGAGAGCAACTAGTCAAATAGAGCAGGAAGAGCTTGTGCTAATCTCCTATGTTTTATATTCACATTACTTCTAGACAGCAGCTGATGGTCTTTCTTGCATTGCCAGAAATGGACAGGCATTTTACTTGTTGTTCCTTGCTTAGAGTAACTTATGTTTTTCTGCTAGGAAAGGGAAGTAGCACACAACCATCCACATTATGCACTCTGATCCTTTCATCTATTAATGAAATATTATCCACGTTAATGAATGCATTTTATTGTATTTGCATTGGGTAGGAAATAGCACATGCACTGCTGTACAGCTGATCTATGCAAGTGCCTCAGTGTGCATTGGATCACCAGTATGAGCTTGGGAACTTGGTGTTTCCATGGGATGTTCATAACAGTATCCTCTGCAGTAGATTTGTTGATAGCATTTGTTTATGGGAAAAGAAATTTGTCTGTACTGTTTAAAAACAGATGTTGAATCAGTGACCAAGATTGACAACTCTTATTCTTCTTTTCTTTTTTTTTTTTTTTTTTTTTTTTTTTTTTTCTGAAGGTTGAATATATTTGCTGTGTTATTTCAGGTTTTTATATACTTCTGCAATGGACAAATCCATTGCTAGATGCAGACTGTTTCACTTTAGTGAGTTCCTCTTAAGCAACTCTGATTCAAAATGGTTTTGGTGATTCTGCCCAAGTATCACAGCTGCAATAATAACATATTTGTCATGTCAGTTTCTTTTCAGATTAGCTTTTTTTTTGAAGACTTTACAACTTCTAGACACAATCTGTAGAGTAGGAAGCATAGTAATATTTAGTACTGTTATATTTTTAGTGGATGGTTTTGATGATGATCTTAAATATAATTGCCTTTTGGGAGAAAATCCTCACTTCAGATTATCTGAATAGAAAAAACAATCAGTAGGTCAACATGGAATCATCCCTTCACATAGATAATTTATCACTGAAAGCCTTACTGGCACTGATATTTTGCTAAAAGGGTAGATGACGCTAATCCAGGTGGACAGTTCTGCCACCATAAATTCAGAAAAGACAGCTAAGGCTGCAGGCCTTTCTTATTTCTCCTAGAGAAAAAATGTCCATGGAGAATCAGACATCTGTCTGAATGGTCTCATCATTTCATAACCATCGATTAGATTATGCTTGCCATAAATACTCTTTTCAGTTTAGAGAAAAGTTAAAACAAACCTAGGCATGATTTTTTTTTTTTTTTTAATAAGCAATTACGGTAATGCTGAGTCATGTGCATGGAAAATGAGCCAAGATGTTATCCAGAACTTAAATGCTACCCATTTTTTTTTCTTTCCTTTGTCCCCATTTTATCCACCTTCTGCTAAATGCACTGTTTCAGAGAGGAGTCTGGATGCTTCTTATGTCCGGCCGGTTGAAAATTCTCACTCTGAAACATGTTAATGATGAAATGCTACTTTGTGTATTGTTACTGCTGCTATTATTGTAATTATGTATCTGACTTTCTCCATTTGCTTGCTGTGTTTGCTTGTAAAAGTGTTAGCGCTGATAACTGCCTAACTCAAATTACAGATTCTAGTTAAATTAATAATAAGCTATGTAAGAGAGCATGACTCAGATGTGTCTGGTAGGAAATTCATATTTAGCTGCATTGCAAAGATCTGAATAATTCTAAGTGTGAAAGTTGCTTTTTTTTTCTCTAAAATTAAGAGCATGTAATACCTTACATTTTTAATAACTTCTTTGGTCTTTATTTTTTCAAGGCAGATGTTACTCATGTGGGGACTTGCAAGATTCTTTTCTCTGTCCTCATGATTTGGTCCATCCCAATTTCTGAAACATTAGAGGAGATTATCATCTCAGCATCAACTTGACTTCTGTCACTTGGAAATTACATGAGGAAATAGCCATTTTCAAAATAAAGATGTTAGCAAGGTACAATTAGGTTAATCTCTACTGAGAATAGGAGATGGCAGCTGTTTTGAGAGGAGTAATGTGACTGCAGCTTCATGATTACACAGCTATCAACTGCAGTGTGGATTCTAATTTTTCTGTATGTATTTTCAATAGTATAAGAAATTTGGTTTCAATTATATATTCACTTTCTCTTTCATTCTCTCTTTCTTTATATCACCAGATAATTACATTGCTTTGAGCTAGAAAACTTAGTCAACTATTGAATGTTTCCTTTAATTCCTCTGAAGTGTCTTATTAATTTTTTTGCTCTGTATTAGTTGTATTAAGCACTATGCTTACTATGCTGAGGTGAATAACTAATTTGCAAACTTCATAACTGTCCTGGTTTTGGCTGGAATAGAGTTAATTTTCTTCCTAATAGCTGGTATGGTGCTGTGTTTTGGATTTAATATGAGAGTCATGTTGATACCATACATGATGTTTCTAGTTGTTGTTAAGTAGCGTTTATAGCAAGTCAAGGACTTCTCAGCTCCTCATGCCCTGCCAGCAAGAAGGCTGGAGGGGCACAAGAAGCTGGAAGGCTGCACAGCTGGGACAGTTGTCCCAAGCTGGCCAAAGGGGTATTCCATACCATGTGGCATCGTACTGAGTATACAGAGCTGGCCAGAGGCAGCTGCTGCAGCTGCTCAGTCACCCTGATGAGTTAGAAAACTAACACACTGCTAGCACACTCGCCATTATTAGGAGAAATAAATACCAGTGATCAGACCTTGTATCCCACTCCATTTAATCAAACCATCACTTAGATCTGTTCCCATATCTCCCAATTACAGGAGCAGTACATAATGCACTAAGAGATTTTTTCCATAAGGATAGCATAATACAATATACAGCTCAGTGTTGTCTGCCAGACAAGTTGTATTTGATCATCTCTGTGGGACCAGAAATTTTGTGGCCTTTATTCTATATGGGCTACTTATTTCTCTTAGACCACTTTACTTTTACTTCCCTCTAGGAGGTCTCCAAAAAGTTTCATGACACCCTTTCATAACTGAGTGGCTGCATATTCACTATATCTCTCTTTGATGTGAATTCTGCAAAGTATTAGATATAGGCATTCTTGAGTGCCAATAGATGCAGTATGATGTTTAATTTCTCCTTTGCTGGATGGATAGTTATAGGTTTTTCTTCTGTGGAAACTCATGTGCTCTTATCTATTCACAAAACATGATTATCCAAATGTTGCCAAACTATCTCAGCCTCGCTGAAAAATAACCACTTCTGCATCAGGCTATATTAACTGTCCTCTGCTTCAGCATTTTTAAACTTGAGGTAGTTGGACAGCAAATGAAATAGCATTGCTTGTGCAAGGGACACCTTTAGCCATGTTCAGAGCTCTAAAGGAAAGGAGCACA